CCTCGGCGGCGGCTGCATGATGCTGAAGGGACATCAATCCTCCCCGACGGCAATGTTAGCAAGAACCAGGAGGAGGACCAGAGAGGAAGGGATGGCCCAGCGAGCGCGCGTGTGTGAAAAGAGAGCCTAAGAAACAGGACTTGCTCCGGAGGTAGCAGGCCGGCAGGCGGCAAGAGGACCCCGGCCAAAGAGCGAGTGTGAGAAGAAGGGGGAGGAGCGCCGGGAAGGCCTGGGGCCCGGGCTGCCCGGGGGTGTGTGAGGAAGGAGGCGGAGATGGCGAGGGGGCGGGGGCCCGGGAGCAGGGGCACGAGGGTCTCGGCCGGCCGGGCGGCGGGTGAGCCGCAGCCGCGTTGTCCGCGCTCCCCGTCCGCTACCGGCGCCGCTGCTCCCGGCGGACGCAGAGGCCCCCACCCCACCCACTCAGGCGGCCCGGCCCTCACTGGGCCTAACGCCCCCGCCCGCCCGGGAGGAGGAAGGTGGCGCCGCGCTCCCCGCTAGAGCTCCACCACTCTGGCCGCGGGAATTTCCGGCCTCGCCGCGCGGCGCAGCGCCCCGCTCCGGTGGCGGAGGGAACCGCTTCGTCCAGAGCGGGGTTCGAGGGGCCGGCCCGGGCTGCCGGGAGGGAGAGAGGACACGGCACGAGACTTCGTACCGCAGGGGGGACGGGGGGAACTAACGGATTGGTCGGTGGCTGGGAGGTGTAAAAACACCAGCGCCACACGAAAATCCCCCCTTTCTGTCTGAGAGTGGCACGTTCCAGACGCCTCCTGGCCTCCCTCCCCCACGCTGGGAGCCAGCTGGGGGCTTCCCGCGCGCTTTCCCGCCAGCTCGCCGCGGCGCGCGCCTCAGTTCGGGGGCGCGCACGTGGGCGGGAGAGGGCTCCGCGCCGACGCACGCGCACAGGCCACCCCCGCCTTCTGCCTGCCTTTGCGGCTGCAGGTTGTGTGTATGTGTGGAAGGGGCGGGGGGCGACGCTCGTGGGGAAATGTTTGCAGTGGGGAGGGGGTTAGTATGCCTGTGGGATACGAGAATTACGGCATTTGCTTCTTCTCCGTCCCTCAACACCCCTCTCTCCCTACCAGCTAGATGTGCGCGAGGGGGACGAGCGAGGACAGGTCGCTTTGCGGCTGGCCGCAGGTGCTAGGCCGTTGCGATGGTAGGGCGGAAAGGCAGTTGCCCTGCAAAGGAAGCAGGGGCTCTCTACTGCAGGGCATTCAAGTCAAAGATCACTGACTTCGCTGAGAGGGAGTCGAGAGAATGTTAAGGCCAAGGCCCCCATTTCGCAGACGGGGAGGCAAGAGCCCTTAGAGGGAAGCCTTTCTGAAGGTCACACAGCAGGACTAGACTTTCTACGTCAGGAAGGTTCTATGGGTTATTTTAAAACAGAAACAGGTGCAGAATAATAAGCACGAGGAAAAGTAGAGGAGGCAGGAGGGGCCATAGAGGAAGCCCTTGTCTGGGAGTCAGGATCTCTGGGTGCCATTCATTTTGCTTACCTCTTAACAGGCTAGGTGAGCTCGGGCTTCCTTATCTGCCAGTGAGGATGCTTATCTAAGTAGGGTCCCCCACCACCACACACACCTTCCTGCTCTGTCCAGACCACCTACAAGGAGGGTTATCGGCCTCCCTTGGAGTCCTCAGAAGAGGATTACCTCTTCCCCATGCCCAGGGAGTTTTTTGAGTCCTGAGGCTCTGTGGAGGCCGAGCTGGATTGCTCGACTGTTTTTTCAGAAGTTGAGCCCCAGACAGCTGTTCTCAGAAGTGCAGTCCAGCCAGAGGAAGGTGAATGAGGCCTAGAGAGACCCAAGTAACTTGCCCGATGACCACAAAGCCAGAAATTGAAAAGGTGGAACTTGAACCCAAGTTGTTTACAATGAGTTAGGCTAGATTCTTTTACAGAAAAATGATAGAGTCAGAGCTGTGTTTTGAGTCAGACTAATCTAGAGCTGTGTATGAACTAGGAGACTAGTCTTGCTATTTCTGCCTTCAAAAGTTAGTCCTTCTACCTGAATTGAACCTTAGAATTTGAAAAAAGTATTTAAAAAAAAAAAAAAAAGCCCTTCACCACAACCCTTAATTAAATCGGGGAAGGCCTGGGGCAAGGGAACAGGTGGATGGAGACGCAAGGCCCTGAGAGCTGTGGGGCAGCAGCTAGAGCCCAGGCCACAGGTAGCCTAGCCTGGAGGCTCTAGTCTCAGCCAGCCCCACCACCAATTTTTTGTGAAGCCTTGTTTCCTCACTTGTAAAATGGTGGTATAATGCTGGCCTCATAGGCTTGCTGTATTAAATAGAATTTCTCCTACCTCAGGGCCTGGCATGTAGTCCTTAATAAGTGCTTATTGATTCATCATTCATTCAAAAAATTATTGCTAAGAAACTGCTTTGTTACCAGCCTGTGCAAGCACTGGGGTTCTAGAGCTAAGCAAGATAGAATCAGCTTTCACTAAGACTGAGTTCCAGACCAACCATTCTATGAGCAACACAGGGCTAATGGAAGAGAGGTAACACAAAGATTTACTGAATCCTAGTCCTGGGTGCAACTGGTCTGGCCCAGAGATTATCCTCCCTTCACCTCCCTTCTTAGGAAGTGAGCACTGGAGTAGAAAGGTGCTAGAGGGGCCGGGCGCGGTGGCTCAAGCCTGTAATCCCAGCACTTTGGGAGGCCGAGGCGGGTGGATCACGAGGTCAAGAGATCGAGACCATCCTGGTCAACATGGTGAAACCCCGTCTCTACTAAAAATACAAAACATTAGCTGGGCATGGTGGCGCGTGCCTGTAATCCCAGCTACTCAGGAGGCTGAGGCAGGAGAATTGCCTGAACCCAGGAGGCGGAGGTTGCGGTGAGCCGAGATCGCGCCATTGCACTCCAGCCTGGGTAACATGAGTGAAACTCCGTCTCCAAAAAAAAAAAAAAAAAAAAAAAAGAAAGGTGCTAGATGTTGGAAGACATGGGATCCAGCCTCTACCATGGATCTGGTGGGCCTTCTCTGGGCCTTGGTGCCCGCCTGCAGAATAAGATAAGTGAGTGAGCCTAGAACTTAGTAGGCTCTTCGCAGAAGTCAGACCCTGGAGCTTTAGTTTATGCATTTAGGAGGGCATCCTCTACCAGATTTGCCATCATTCTGAAGCCAGGAGTGGCACTGACTTTCTGGAATGATTTCCTTTGGAAGTGTTATAAAGAGCTAAGGGCAATACCAGATGGGCTTACCTACTAACTCCTATTTCAAAAATGTGATTTTTTAAAAACATTATTTGAATACTTACCAAATGCCTTTTCCAAACCCTAAACTTTCATATTACTTTTCCAATATAATCTTTACCCATGAGATAGTATTATTTTCTTCATTTTTCTGATGAAGTACTGGAGGCTCAGTGGAGATAAGTTACTTGCCCTGACATGATAGACTTGAGACCATAACCCAGTTGTCCGATGAGGAATTTTCCTGTATGAAGAATGTTCAAAGGAATTGGGAGAGTTCCTAACCCAGGAAAATAAGCAGACTCAGGAAGATACAATCTATTATGTTTCAGAATCCAGAGGACAGGGGAAAGGATTTCTGTGACGTATGTAAGCCTGACTTAAAATGCACCATTTTGAACAGGGCTGGGGACTTCCAGAGCCTTGCTCCTGCAATGCAGCCAAGCACTGTATTGCCGGTAAGATCGCTTGAGATTCTTTGTGGAAATGGCGCAGAGCGGCATGCACTGTGGCCCCAGAGACAAAACTGGGACAGGACTTAGCTGCATCTCAGGAAGGAGCCTTTCCAGGCAGAGCTGCCCCTGGAGGGAGTGAGCTCCCTGTCCCTGGGGCTGTGCAAGCACGTTCTGGCTCCCTTCCGTCAAAGAGGCCACAGATAGAATCTCACTCTGAAAAGAAATTAATAACAGCTGTCCTTTATTTTGCCACTTCCATGTTCCAGACATTAAAATAGGCATGTTATTTACATTGTTTCCAACCTTCACAACTCCTCGTAATACATATAACCCCATTTCACAGGCTGCAGCTCAGAAGTGAAATGACCTACCCAAGGTCACACAGCTAGTAAAGGAAAGTGAGGCCTGGCCCCTGGTTCTGAAGCTGTGCTCTCCCTCCAGCATGCTGCAGTGCAGTCTCCCACTTCATTAGGAATATGGTTCTAAGGTTACGTCAGAGCTAGGATCAAAAACTGGCCTGGAGCAGGTATATGAACGGGTATCAGAAGATCAGCTGTTCTGATATTCCAGGGCTCCTGGGAAAATCTGCAGGGAGACAAAGTATACAGCAGCCCGTTACCATGGCCAGAATATGAGTAACACACTACTCCCAGTCCAGAGCACACACCCAGGACAGTTTGACTCCATCAAAGGTTCTCTCCAGAGAAAGTGGCTGCCAGTCCCCCTGCCCACACTCCACCAAGGCATCCCTGACCCTTCCTATAGCTGGGGTCCACAGCCCTCTCTACTCTGTCTTCCTCTGTGTCATTATCACCCCCCTGCATTGGCACCAGCTGCTCAGGAATGCTTGTCAGCATGTCTGGATGCCAGCTATTCCCTGCCTGAGCCCCACCGAGTCCAGCTGGGGATGCATCAGCAGACAGTGCATTCTATGGACCCCACCCCCATTCATCTCCTTCCTACCCCTAGTCACCTTTCCCTACCCACACCTTTGCTCCTCCCTGAGCTAATTCCCTCAACACCAGCCTCCTGCCAGCCTGGTGTGAGAATGTGCCTGTCTCTTCCACTGTCAGCTCTCGGGACAGAATCCCAGCATGGGTGAATGAGGCTTCAAAACTGAAGCCGCAGAAGAGAGCAGGTATTCTCCTTAAGACACACAGTGAGTTTGTTCCAGTCACGAGGCCTTGAATTCTATAGTGTCACTCAATAAGCCCCTTATTCTGGGCTTAGTCATGAGCAGGACTCTGGGGTGAGGAGCTGCCCACCAGGAGCTCCGAATCTCAATACATAGACCAAGGCCTCAGCAGTGAGATATGCAGGGCCAGGAAGGTCATAGGGACCCAGACCCTACCAGGTGGTAGCAGAGATCTAAGGCCAGAGGCAAGTCCCTAAGAAGCAGGCACTAGGACCAGGAATTATCCTGTCAAGTGTTGCCCTTGCCAAGGAATATTACAACTTTGTGTGGAAGGGGTGGGGGTGTACAGTGAATGAGCAGTCAGTCCCAGGGCTATCATAGGAGCTGATAGGCACATGGTTTTGACATTAGGAGGCAGGAAACCATGGTGCTAATTCTATCTTTGCCAGGTTCTCACTGAGTGTGACCTCTAGCGTATCACTGTCCTCTCAACCTTGGTTTCTATATCTATAAAATGGGAATAACAAATTCGGTCCTGTCTTCCTCTTGGAGGGCTGTGCAGGTTAAATGAAATAACAGGTATATAATCTGCAAAGGGCTGAGGAGCCACATAAACAATAACTGCTGATCCTGGGACGCATCAGAGAAGGCTGAGTGGCTGCCTGTATTTGAACACTGATCATTACCTTCCACCATGAGCTGCACTGTGATTAGGCACTAATGAGTAAAATAGTTTTGGTGGAGGGATGAGGTTACAGTGGTCTGAGGTCAAGCAAACCTGGGTTAAATGTATGATTTCTCCTTTCCCAAGCTTTGAGTTTTTGATCAAGTCTTGAAATCTCTTTTCAGCCAGGTTTCCTTGTCTATAAAGGTGGGATAATGATTATTTGCAGGGTTGCAGTGAGAATTAAATGGGAATGTTTATGTAAAGTGCTTGCAACTGTGCTAACCCACAAATGTGTTCCTTTTGTTGAGTTTTCCTTCATTTTCCCATCATTTTGTTACTGTTTTATTTGTAAGTTAAAGAATAAAACACAAAAAGAGGAATTTCCACGGGGGAGATTGAGCACAGCTAGAATCCTAGTTGCTCCTTACTGATTGTGAGGACTGGGAAGTCCCTGCCTTTCCCTCAGCCTGGGTTTTCTCATCTGTAACACCAGGGGTTCCACGAGGGAGTTTCTTCAGGGACTAGCCTGGGAGGCACAGGATGCTACCAAGTCTGCAGGCCCCTTTCAGGGAGAGGATCCTTCAGGCCGAGCTGGGTAAGGAGGGCCAGGCAGGGATCAGGAGAGGGAGATAAGAGTTGTGGAAGAGGGACAGCAGGATGCAGAGGTGGCAGTTCTGTCACCACCATGGGCTGGCCTGTGAAGGGAGCAGGCCCTGTTCAGGATGCCTGCCTGCCTGTTTTCCCACAGCCTGCTGAGTTAATGCCAAAACAAAATACACTTGCTTGCTCCCTGCCTGATGGCAGCAAGCCAAAATGAGCGTCCTGGAGGGCTGGCAGACACCCTGGCATCCTGCCTGTCCTCTGTGGGCATCTGCCCTTCCCCTGTCTGCAGCACCACCCTCAGCCAAAGCTGGCCCAGGGTGTGGAGAGGAGCCTCCCCAGGGTCTGCGTTCCTCCTCCGATTTGCAGCCTTCCTAAGTGGATGCCTCCAACCCCTACACCTGCCTGTCTTCCAGTCCAGCCTTGGCCCAAGACGTGATCTAATTCTCATGCTGCTGTGGGCAGAGCACATGGCATCAGAATGCTGGGAGCTGCTGTCTGTCGCCATGGGAGGGAATTCCCCAGCTCAGGAAAACTCTTCCAACGGAAGGGAGCAGGTGGCGAGCCTCCCTGAAGAGACAGACGCTGCCAACGCTGCAGGCAGAGCCAATCGTGTGGTAAGAAGCATCAGATCTACCACCCCCGGCCTTCTGTCTGATGTTTGTCTACACTGTGTACATTAGTAATAATAGCTCATGCTTTATAATAGTTACTATATGGCAGACACCCTTTCAAGCACTTCACATAAAAAATGAATGTAATTCTCACAACTCTGAGGTAGGTACTATTACTAGCCTCATTTTACAGATGAGGCATTCACAGGATAAGTATACCTATGGTCATGCTGCCAGTGGCAAATTGAGATGTATACCCAATTACCCAGGTTACAGGGTCTGTGCTGTTAACTGCTAAACTACTAATCTGCCACCAAAAGTTAGTATCCCCCATAAAACCTATGTCCAAACTTGGAGCATGACAAGATGCTTGCCATAATACCTTAGAATCCAATCATCTTCCCAACTTGGCTAAGCTGAGAATCAGCAGGGGTGCTTGTTTAAAATACACAGTCCTCTGTCCCTAGCCTCCTCCAGTCACCAATCTAAGGATTCACTAAATTTGACGTGGGAGGAGAGGCAGTGCCTGACATGTGGAAATCACACCATAAATGCCTGTTAAATGAATGAACGCCCCTGACTTCTCTGAGCCTCTGCTCATCTCTAAAACAGAGTTATAGCTCCCTACCCTCCCCCATTTCCAAGTGTAGCTGTGGGTTAAGCCAGTGTGTGTGTCTGCTCTGGCTTTGCTGGGTATGGGAAATTGTTTATAAGCATACCCGGCTGGCTCCTAATAATAGCTGTAATAATAATAGCTGACATTTCTTGAATGCTTAGGAGATACCAGGCATAGCTCTGAGGGCTTTGTGTTAACCCATTAATTCTCTGTTGTTTTTTTTTAAGAGACAGGGTCTCGCTATGTTGCCCAGGCTGGAGTACAGTGGCTATTCACAGGCTCAATCCCACTACTGATCAGCATTGGAGTTTTGACCTGCTCTGTTACCTACCTGGGCCGGTTCACCCCTCCTTAGGCAACCTGGTGGTCCCCCACTCCCGGGAGGTCACCATATTGATGGCGAACTTAGTGCGGACACTCGATCGGAATAGCGCACTACAGTCCAGAACTTCTGGGCTCAAGCAATCCTCCAGCCTCAGCCTCCCTAGTAGATGGGACTACAGGCATGCACCACTGTGCCCAGCAACCCATTAATTCTCATAACACTCAATGATCTTGATTTTAAGAATGGAGTTAAGTCACTTGCCTGAGATCACACAATTAGTAAGAAGTAGGATTTGAACACAGATGGTCCTGTTCCAGTGTCCAGAGGCTAACCACTCCATCACAGTTACTGGAGTCACCCAGCCCTTCCTGCCTTCCTGCCTTCCCTCCCACCCTCCCTCCCTCCCTCCCTTCTTCCTTCCTTCCTTCATTCCTTCCTTCCTTCTTTCCTTCCTTCCTTGCTTCTGTCTTCTTTTCTTGTTTGTTTGTTTGTTTGAGATGGGGTCTTGCTCCCTCACCCAGGCTGGAGTGCAATAGTGTGATCACAGTTTGCTTGCAGCCTTGACCCCCTGGGCTCAATCAGTCCTTCCAACTCAGCCTGCTGAGTAGCTGGGACTTCAGGTACATGCCACCATGCCCAGCTAATTTTTTGTGTGTTTTTGTAGAGACAAGGTTTTGCCATGTTGCCCAGGCTGGTCTCGAACTCCTAGGCTCAAGCAATTCACCCAGCTTGACCTCCCAAAGTGCTGGGATTACAGATGTGAGCCACTGCACCTGGCCCTGCTCACAATTTAAAAAGTAGTAGCCCTTTATGGTTTTATCACACTCTGCAGTGGGCATAAATATTGGCTATCTCATCCATCCTATCAATGTCCCCACCCCCTAGACCTCTGGGAGGAGATCTTGTTTATGGCACCCAGCAGGCACACTGGATGGGTGGATTTGAAGGCTTGAAGACTCAGAGGTTTAACGGCAGTGGAACATTAAGAGTGGGCAGCCAGGTCATGGAACACAGGCCCAGTCAGCAGCCTAAGGGAGGATATGACTGAGGGCCTGCACAGGCCTGTCCTCTGCTTATGTTCAGCCTATATCTTCACCTGCTGTGCTGAGCCTGACCTGGAGGAGGCTTTTGAGTAAGTGGTCCATAAGGAGAGGATGAGGTATGTCTGAAAGACAAGACACCCTGGGCTTGGTCACACTAACTCCAGTACCTTTCCTGTCTGCACACTGGGCACTCAGCTCCCAAATAAATGTGCACTTAGAAGCTGCACATCACAAACAAACAAACAGGCACATCAGCTTCCAAGCAAGCCTGCTAATAGGCTATTTTGACTATATACCCACTGCTCAAAACTCTTTTATGGCTGCCCACTGCCCTCCAAATTTAGCCCAAGCTTTTAAACCTGACATTCAAGGCCCTTCACTGTGTGACTCCAGCCAGCCTACACAACCTCATCTCTCAGTCCTACCATTTTAGGTACCCTTTGTTCCAAACACACAGCATATATGTACATACACACAAACACAGACACAACTTTTCCAGCAACTCATCAGGCTCTTTTAGCAACTTTACACGTCTGAATATGCTGTTCCCTCTGCATTTAACACCCTTCTCCCTTTTCTCTACAGTGTCAGCTTAGAGTTTTGGTTAAGAGCTTGAGTCAAGTTCCAATTCAGACTGACCCATTGGAATTTTGGCCTTGCTGCTTTCTAGCTGCGTGGACTTCACTGCGTAATCTGGATGCTGTGTACCTCTCCAACATCAGCTTACAGCATCTCCCCTCTACCATGTTCTATTATGTTCTTCCCTGAGCCTGTTTGCCCTTGGCACAGATCTGACGTTCTCTGGGCCTGTGTCACTATTTGTGTTGGAATAGTTCGGTACCCTTGACGTCTACGTGGCTCTGTCACTCTCTAGTATGTCACTATCAAAACCAGAACATGCTTTCTAGATGGTAGCAGAATGACTCTGAAGGTGAAACTTCACCTTTTCTCTCTGGAGCAGCTGGAAAAACTTTCTCCAAACCAGCAGTGATCACAAAGAAGTGACTGTGTCAAGGCCAGAGGCATCTTCCAGATATTTCATCTGGGTGAGAATTCTTCAGCCACATCTGGAGACCATTAGTCTCCATTTGCACCCACACCCATACCCTGCACTGTGCCCTAGGAGGTGGACCCCTGTGGGCTGCCTCACGAGGCCTTCTTGCCAACTGGCTTCCACTTGGGTTTGGACATGATTCCTGACCCATTTGAGTCCTGGGCCGTAAGACATTTCCACTGTTGCCAGCTTCTGGGCAGGTGCCTCAGTGTCTTTTTTTCTCTTAACCTGCCCACATCTCACAGCAGTAGTCCTCTCATTAAAGTCTCTTCATCTGAACCGTTAGGAGTAAATTACTTCCTGCTGATCCCCAAATACCTGAGCCTGCATCTGGAAATGATTGATCTGAATGGGCAGATCTAGGTGGAGGGCCAGGTCTTTGGTGACCAACAGGAAGCAATTCACCCCTCATGGTTCATAACCCCTACCAAAAATTAAAAATTAGCCAAGCGTGGCAGTGCATGCCTATGGCCCCAGCTACTCAGAAGGCTAATGTGAGAGAATCATTTGAGCCCAGGAGCTTTAGGCTGCAATGAGCTGTGATGATGCCCCTGCACCCCAGCTTGGGCTATGAGGTGAGACTCTGACTCAAAAACAAACAAACAAACAAATGAAAAAATAGATACAATCATGTCAAGACTTGCCCCAGAACAAAGAACCCACCAGCACAACCCATAAACAGCCTCTCCCAATGTTCATGCTTTGGGCCAGACATACTCAATGCTAGCTAACTTCTCTAGGAGCATGAGGGTCTGATTCTGACTTATCAAGAGCTCTTGTGGGCAGAGTCAGATAAGACAGGCATCTGCAGCGCGGTAACAGTGAAGTAACAGTGACTAGTTCGGTGAACCAACAATACAGAATAAAACAGGCCTCAAGGCAAAGCATGATCAGACTACTGCTCAGGCAGCATGAGCAGTGCAGGTCAGTGTGGAAGAAGCCAAAGAACTTGTGCTACTTGGGGCAGCCTTTCTGGAGGACCTGCAGGACCTGGGCAGGAACCATGGGATGCTAGAAAGGTAGGGATGGGAAATATGGAGGGGTGGGGAGTAGGGAAGGAATATCTCAGGAGAAAGAGTTAGGGCCTGGCAGAAGGAAATGGGATCTCTGAGGGCAGGAGCAAGAGTCAGGGGCTTGGTCAGGCATAGCCCCTCACCCTGCCCCGTCCTGGAACAGGTCTCCAGCCTGAGGACAGGCCCCCAATATCACCCACAAGCTATTCCTCTCCTTCAGGGCTGGGCTGCCAATCACTCCAGCTCTTTCACTTCCCTTGCTTACTGCACCTGCCCAGACCACAGCCCCAGCAGGGTTTAGGTTTCAATTCTCGTTTCCTCCATACCTATGTAGTCTCTTGAAAAGTTTCCATTTCTTGACAGGGACTAGGCCTGACACACCTGACACCCTCAGTCCTCTGCTACTGCTTCTTTACAGTTGTTTCTGCCTGTCCCTAGCCCTATACTTCAGTCCTCTGCCCTCCTAGCAGCCTAAGCAAGCCTGCTAATAGGCTATTTTGACCATGCACCCACTGCTCAATACCCTTTCATGGCTACCCACTGCCATCCAAATTTAGCCTGAGCTTGTTTATTTATTTATTTATTTATTTATTTTTTAAAGATGGGGTTTCTCCATGATGGCCAGGCTGGTCTTGAACTCCTGACCTCAGGTGATCCACCCACCTTCGCCTCCCAAAGTGCTAAGATTACAGGCATGAGCCACCGCACCCCAAGCTTTTTAATCTGACATTCAAGGCCCTTCACTGTGTGATTCCAACCAACCTACACAACCCCATCTCTCAGTCCTACAACTTTAGGTACTCTTTGTTCCTAACATACTGCGTGTATATACACACAAACACACAACTTTTCTAGCAACTTATCAGCCTCTTTTTAGCAACATCACACATCTGAATATGCTGTTCCCTCTCCTTTTAACACCCTTCTCCCTTTTCTCTACTTGATAAACTCA